CTATGGTACATACACACAATGGAATACTATGCAACCCTAAAGAATATTGTAGAATCTACAAAACACCACATAATGTGAATGAACTAGGAGGACATTATGCTGAGTGAAATAAGTCAATTACAAAAGGACAAATATTGTATTAGTCTGTTATTGTAAAAGTCAAGGAAACGTTTATCTGTGGAAGGAAATTTTCTTTATTGGTTACCAGGAGTGGGAGGGGAGGGGAAGGAACACTGTTAGATAGGTAGAGATAAGTATTGATTTGGGTGAAGAGAAGAGCAATGTACCAAATGTGAGTGATCAATATAGTGGCATTGAGGAAGAAAAAGACATAGAGAGGTACGTGGTAGGTACAGACAACAAAGATGAACCCTTTTGCACATATAGTATGGCGTTGTCAGTGAAGGCAAACATGGGTGTATGGGTGGATAGATGGGTGGACTGGCTGAACTATTAGGTATATCTATGAAGCAGGGAGTATATCCAAGAACATGTATAAGGTTGGTAGACAATGGCCCTATAAATTTATGTGTATGATCTAAATTCCCAGGTGTATAGTAGAGCTGACGAGGGGCAAGGTTGTAGTCACTGCTTGGTCACAGCTACCCAGAGGGATCGAGTAGTTGAACCTGTGAGCTCGGGATACTAGTCAAAGAGGACATCAAGCTCAGTTGGCATAACATACTACACAAAACATTGTTCCACCTCCTACTTTGGTGAGTAGCGACTGGGAACTTAAAAGCTTGCAAGTTGCCATCTAAATGCAGCGATGGGTCTCTCCTCATCCAGAGCAAAGAAGAATGAAGAAAACCAAAAATTCATGGCAACAATTAGTCCTAGTGACTGCTACACCATCTGATCTGCAGCCTATTCGACTATGAGACCAGAAGAACTAGATGGTGCCCGGTTACTACTGTCAACCACTTGGAAGGAGATCTATGTAGGAGATCCTGGATAGAGAGGGATAACAATGTGGAACAAAACTCAAAATCATTTGGAGAAAAAAAAAGGGGGAGGGGACCAGGTTTGCTGGTCCGATAGAGCCTGGTGGAACCACTGAGACTATGGCCCTAGCTGCCTTTCAGGTCTGGAATTGAACCCACACCTGTGGCTTCCAGCCAAACAATAGACAGGCATATGGGTTGAACATTTACCTGAGGTAGATACACTCCTTGGAGAGAACAATCATGGGAGAAAGAAGGGCTGCTTATGCACAGGGAGACAGCTCAGGGGGCAGGAGTGCATGGAGGGATGGACACAGGGAAGAGGTAACTATTGGGAGGAAGTAGGAAGGGAGATGTTGCATTATGGTAAACTGTAGTCAATGTCATGAGACAAAGTGTATGTGAACTGCTGTATGGAAAGTGAATTTGCTGTGTAAATTTTCACCTAAATCAGAAAAAAAAAAAAAAAAGATGATAAATTAGATCACTTAAAAAAAAAAAAGACTGGTGGGGACTAAGTCGGAAAATTTAGGGGATAAAAAATTTGGGATCTACAGATGGAGATTCATTATTCAGGGCTTAATGGAAAAACCTTTAGAGATACTGAGTGGGAGTTGATACAGTTAATGTTGTTGTGTGTTGTTATTTGCCATCAAGCGAGACCCAACTCATAGCAACCCCTCCTTGGGTTTCCGAGGCAGTATCACTACAGAAGTAGATTGCCCAGCCTTCCTCCTGAGGAGTGGCTGGTGGGTTTGAACCGTCAGCCTTCTGGTTAGCAGTCAAGTGCCTTAGCCACTACACTACCAGAGTTAATGTAGTGCTTTATAATATTAATTTAAAAATAGCATGCAGAATGCATTCTAACTATATAAAATGTGAATTTGATAAAAACAGACAAGATAGCTATTGTAATAATTCACATTTGGCTGGAAAATACGGAAGCTTTTTTTTTTTTTTTAATAGTTTAAAGAACGTTTTAGAAATGTCAAACATATAAGGAGACAGGATAAAGCACTGGGAAAAGCCCAGCCTGAAAGTCAGGAGACTTTTTTCTCTACTGAGTAACTGTGCTTTAGACAGATTACTAAATTTTCTTGGCCTAGTTTTCTTTATGTTAACTACAGACTTGATAATCTCGACATTCCTAGCCTTTATACATGACTTCATTTTTGATAAATACTATGTTGTTTAATAGACTATGACTCCCACACATTAAATTAGAAAGTAGAAATTTTTCTCTTTATTCTTTCCTACTGTCACCAGCCTGTTTGGTAATCCAAGTATTAGATTTCTGTGACTGCTACAGTTTGAAGCCTTTAAGGAACAAAATAATCATCGAACATCCCAAACATTACTTGTATCAAGGTGTACTTTATATCTAAAACTCTTTGGTTTTATAAATAAAATACGAATTCTCTTTTACAGAGACATGTGACGCAGTCTGGGGGTAATCGTAAATTCAAGTGCACTGAATGTGGAAAAGCTTTCAAATACAAACACCACCTAAAAGAGCACTTAAGAATCCACAGTGGTAAATATTTGTTTCTTTCTACACCTGATTATCATAGCATATTGGTAACAAATAGACCTGTCATGACGTGATCTACATACAAAAACAGAAATTCTGTGCTTTTCTTTTAGGATAAAGAGTAATATAGGGAAATTTTCTGTGTAAATGGTATTTTATTGGAATTTTAGCCTATAGCTAAAGTATATCAAATTAATACAATGCAACATACTCCAAATTTGGTAATCCAAAGATAATTGAGCATGTTTTAACAAGAAGTACAACATAAAAATACTTTTGTTTTCTGATGACTATTTATTTTATTGCCTTTTTTGCAGAATTAAGGGAATAAAAAATGGTACAAATTGCACAAAGAAATAGGAGGTAAAGATATCTTTATACAAGAAAAATAGAAATGGAACTCAAAGAAGGAAATGGTAGAAGGGTGAAGTAGAGACAGTGAGAGGGTAGTATAAAGGGCAAGAGAACTACAACATTAATGAGAATGTAAAAGACAAATGTTTTCCCCATCATCTTTAATTTTCTCTACATCTTCATTTTTTACATCATTAATTACAAAATGAATATTGTTTTGTGAAAAAAGTATTATATGCATTTAGTGAATGTATGATAGACAAAGAAAGCAATATTTGCATCTTTAGTGGATCATCTTAAACAATACCTTATAAAGAAAACAGTAGCATCCCACATTGTGCTATGAAATCTGTTCATCCCCTGATAATTTTGATGTGTGTTATTTTAGATTTATTTAATTGCAATAAAAATTAACTGTTAACTAATTAAAAAAAAAAAAAGCACTGCCGTCGAGTCAGATCCAACTCATAGGGACCCCTCCTTGGGTTTCCAAGGCGGAAGTGGATTGCTCAACTGTTAACTAGTAAATGAGAAATAAATGTTTGTACATTGCTTACTTTGTGAAAATTGTTATATTGACATTTACATTTTACAGACATATTCTGCAAAAAAGTATGGTTTTATCTGTATTTTATTTTGAAAACATACTTCTAAAAGTTTTACAGTGTTGCTTTTTGAGGCTTAAATAATCCTGAAGTTACCACTTAAAAATACTCAAACCAAGATTATTACCAAAGCATTCATTTATTTTCACTATTTATTAATGATTCTAGAAAGTAGAGGTTGTCTTTTACAGCCTGACCACAGGATCTATATTTGAGTTCCTCAGTTACTGAACAATTTTTATCAATAATAGTGTATTTTTTAATAATCTACTTCCAGACAACAGACGGTTTGGTATTGTTAGCAGACATGTAGCTAGTTTAAGAGAACAGAAAAATGTCAAAATTGGTGTGATTATTATATGCCATTGAGTCAGTTCTGACACAAAGAATAGAATTGCCCCAGAGGGTTGCCTAGGCAGTAATCTTTATGGGAGAAGATCACCAGGTCTTTTCTCCCACAGAGCCACCAGTTGGTTTGAACCACTGACCTTACACTTAGCAGCTGGGCACTTGACCATTGTGCTACTAGGGATCCTGAAATTGGGGTAGAGGAAGAAAAATAAGACAAAATTTAACGTGAGATTCATGGCATATACAAAATAAAAGTCATATAGTCTTATTGCAGTTGCATAGGAGGATTTGTCAGATCTATAGATGATGTAGTTTGGAATCATAGATCATACCAAAGATGAGAGTCAAAATTTAAGACATTCTGATCAGATTAAAATACTGTTCTAGGTATAACAATTTGAAATTTAATTGCAAAGTCCTACACTGATATTCCAAAATCAGTCTCACTCACATAGTAAGTAGGGAGCTACTGCCTACAGAAAAGTCTTAAGGGTTTGGTTGGTCTAGAAGTTAACTGTATGCTCTGCTGTTGCTGCTGCAGAAGACACTAATACAAATTAGGCCAGAGTGTGGAACACAAAACTCCCACTGTCCCCTCTACACTGTCCGTTCATTGCTTTCTTATACTTGTCTTGTTTTCAAAATTGTTTAATATGAGGCATGTATATGTTTAATATATCAAGAAATTTTTATTTAAAAATATATAATAAAAATGAGGCAAAGTTAAGGAAGTAAGACAAGCATAAGGTTAGCATTTACAAAACAAAATATTCAAATGGGAGGTCAAATATTTCTCCATCCTGCCTCTTTCCCCCAGAAAATGGCCTTATTCCTTTTTGCCTGGAAATTTTTTATGTCAAATGCAACAAAACACATCAGCCATTAAAATAAATTTCAGTATTCATTGTACATATAACTTTGAGCAGTACAATGTCCTAGTGTAATTTCCAAGCTAAACTAGTTGCAGACTCTAATCTAGAAAGATAAATTAGGTTGTGTGCTTAAGCTATAAACTGTAAAGCTATAAAGTTAGAAACTAGGCTTTTTCTAGCTGACATGATTACTTCAGCTTTAGAATAATTTTTCTGTACACTTTCTTTCTGGCAATGATTAAATATCAGGATGATGCCAATTGTGTAAACTAGCATGTATTACACACTTTACTGTGTACTAGTCACATACTTAGGATTTATATGCGTTATCTTATATAGTTCTCATGAAAATCTATGCAGTAGATTCTATTATTTCTTCCTTTGAACTGATATGAAAATGAAAGCTTGGAGAGCTTTATTAACTTGTCTAGTGCTATGAGTCGGGGCCGACTTGATGGCAAATTGCAACAACAGTGCCATTCAGCTAGTACATGACAAAGCTGGGTTTAAACTTAGACATCCTAACACCAAAGTCATTGACTTACCCACTTTGTTCCTCTATCTCTCTGTTTGTAAACATAAAATAGTCTATATTATAGATGCTCATCTTCCTAATATGCAGGAGAATAAGCATCTAAGCTCATCTAAAAATGGAATCAAGTCATTAAGAATGTTAAAATAGAGACACATCCTTTGTTTTAGCACCACTGGAAATTTTTATCTGATGCATTTTTTGATTATTGAATCCCATTCCAGGCATCTCAGTTTAAAGCTATTAATAAACTGGAAAATATAGAAGTGAGTTAACAAACAGTTAAGGATTATGAAACCATGTCCTTTAAGGAATATTTGAGGACCTGAGTATGTTTAATCTACACAAGGGAAGACTAAAGATATGTGTTAACAGCTGTTCAAGAAATTCTTGAAAATCTGCATATAGAAGAAAGGGTACACTTGCCCTGTGTGCATCAGAAGGGAAAACTAGAATCGAGATCAAACAAGAAGCATTTGCCCAGGGATAAAGCTCAGAAGGAAGGAATGGATAAGAAAGAAGGACAAATGGAAATTATACCCATAGGGAGGAAGTGGGAAAAGTGCTGTTACATTGTGGGGACTACATTCAGTGTCATGAAACAAAAACATGTATGAACAGTTGAACGGAAAACCAATTGGCTCTGTAAACTTTCATTCAAGTCACAATATAAAGGTTTGTTTTGTTTTGTTTTGTTTTGTTTAAAGTAGATAGAAAAGTAGCCATTATAGGAAGCTGACTTTGGCTAGGAGCTCAACCTTTCTCTCAGTAGATTTAATTTTTAAAAGAATGACTAATGTTTATTGAGGTTATATTAAGAGATTTACTGTATTATCTCATATAAGCCCTACAACAATTCAGTGAGGATGTATCTACATTTATACATGAAAGCACTGAGGCTTGGAAAAATTAAGAAAATAGTGTGTGGCAGAGCCAACATTTGAACCCAGATCCATGGTCCTCCACAGAACCAGACTAGATTATCTTTCATAGAGCTGCCCAGAGGGTGGTAACTTCCCTTTCACTAAAACAGTTTAAACAGAGACTGGCTGATGGACTACTCGCCAAAAGGTTGGCAGGTTGAGGACCCACCCAGAGGTGCCTTGGAAGACAAGCCTGATGATCTGCTTATGAAAGGTCATAGCCTTGAAAAGTTTATGGAGTGCGGTTCTACTCTACACACCTAGGGTTGCAGTAAGTCAGAATTGACTTGACAGCAACTGACAACAACAAAGCTGATCTCAAGGACAACATAAAGTAAACTCTTCACTGAGAAGTAGACTGTACTAGAGAACTGTTTCATATCCCTGCCAAATATAATTTCAGATTCTTCAGATAATCAGAATGCTAGTTAAAGAAAATATAACCCATTTTTTGAACTGTACAACACTGAAGTTGTATTACCAATAGAGATTACATTGGCTTTCTCACTGCTTTCATTTTAATTCATGAAAAAGAAAGGAGGTGGGAAAGAGCTATATTTTGATACTGAGAAAATGACTCAGCATCACCACATTTCATAATTCTACAATTAGCCATTCATTCATCTAAAAACTGTTTAATGAACATTTTTGGTTATCTAATGCTGCTATAACAGAAATACCACAAGTGGGTGGCTTTAACAAATATATTTTCTCACAGTTTAGGAGGCTAGAATCCTGAATTCAGTGTGCCTGCTCTAGGGTTAAGCTTTCTCTTTTGGCTCTGCATTAAGGTCCTTGTCTCGTCAACTTGTTTCTGGTTCCTTTGAGATCTCCATGTAAGTTGGCATTAATCTTCCCCGATTATCTGCTTCTTTAGCTTGTTTGTTTCATTCTTTTAAGTATTTCAAAAGAGATTGACTTAAGTTAGAGGCACCTTATACTAATCATCTCATTAACATAATGTAGACATCTCATTCCCAAATAACATTAAAACCACAGCCATAGAAGATAGTAATTAAAGTACATGTTTTTGGGGGACACAATTCAATCCGTAACATTCCACCCTTTGGCGTCCCAAAATTCATGACCTTGCCACATGCAAAACACATTCACTCCATCACATAATCACAAAAATCTTAAATCAACTTCAAGTCCACAATCTTCATCTTCTGAAGCATCTACGTCAAATATAGGTGAGATTTAGGCATATTCCATCCTGAGGGCAAAATTCATCTTCATCTGCTAAATGTAGAATACAGTTTATCTGCTTCCAAAGTACAATGGTAAAACTGGCACAAAGTAGACATTTCCATTAAAAATGGGGGAAATTTGAGGTAAAGAGGGGATAACAGGCACCAAGGAAGTC